AAAAATATACTAAAAGTGAAATCCCTTCCTTGACTTACAAACATTTAATAAATTAAGAATAGGAAGAAACTATTTACATCCATAAATGACATTTATACAAACCTAAAGTAAACCACACATTTTGTGGTTAAATTTCTAAAGCAAAAATCAGAGTAGAATTTTCCTTATGACCTCTTCTATGAGACATTATGCTACTTGTCCCTGATGATAAAATACACTCAGAAACACATATAAAAGTAATCATGTACTGGGAAAGAAGAATACATCTGAGGTAATTATCTTATGCTGTTAGGGTGTAAGAATAAAACCCATGTAAATTAATGATTGAATTTAGTGTTGATGGAACATAATTTAAGGTGAAAAATAACCTATCTCTGCAGCTCAGTTATCAACCACTCATAGATAATATTGTGCAAATTAACACTTAATCAATCTTAAAGTATTAAATAGATAGAGATAAAACTAATAAGGGTTCTGAAAGATGCAACATTTAAGTATAGAAAGTTTTTCCAACAATGAAATTGAAGTAATTGATAGAAGAAAATTCTTGGATGGAAATGGTCACCAATGGGAAAATGTCAGTATTTTACAATTGATTCTACAGATTCAATCCAATTGTTAAGCAAATTCAGATAGGTGTTTTCATGAAAACAACAAGCTTTCATGGGGTGAGAGATGATATTCTAATGGACATTTTGATATTTATCATATCCCTAGAATTTAGTCAGTTATTTAGGTTTCTCCAGCATTTGTTCAATGAATAAATCTATAAAGCATGACTTTTAAAGGTTTTCTATTGATAGGCAGATATTTTAATGTTTTGTGGAAGTGGACAAGTATAAAGAAAAGGCCAGTATCAATTGAAAGATACTGTAAATATAACATTCCTTTCCTTGGTGTCTAGAAAATCAAACGAAAAGCTGGACATGGCAATGTAGACCTGGAAGTCCAGCACTCTGGGAGGCCGAGGAAAAAGGATCATAAATTTGAGTGCAGCCTTGGCAATGTTGTTAAGTTTAACAAGACTGTATTTCAATATTTTAAAAAAAATTTAAAGGAGTAGTGATGTACCTCAGTACAAAGGTCTTGAATTCAATAATCTGACCTAAAATGGAAGAAAAAAATTTAAATGAAAAACAAAAATAAAATAGAAACAGAAAAAGGACAATTTGGCTCAAATCCTGTGAAAGTCTGTGAATGGGTGAGTGAATGGGAGAGAAATAATGAACTTGAACTAATAACAATTTCACATTGTCAGTAGATATGGAGCAGTGTATGAAGTGTCCTGATGATCAGTATGCCACAATTCAGCAAAACCACTGCCTCCAAAAGTCTGACACTTATCTGGCTTATGAAGACCCCATGGGGAAGGCTATGGCTAACACTGCCCTGAGTCTCACCATTCTCACAGCTGCTGTTCTTGGGGTCTTTGTGAAGCACAGAGACACTCCCACTGTCAAGGCCAACAACAGGGCTCTCAGTTACACCCTCCTCATCTCCCTCACCTTCTGTTTCCTCTGCTCCTTACTCTTCATTGGCCGGCCCAACACAGCCACCTGTATCCTCCAACAGACCATATTTGGAGTTGTGTTCACTGTGGCTGTTTCCACTGTCTTGGCCAAAACTGTCACTGTGGTGCTGGCCTTTAAGGTCACTGCTCCAGGCAGAAGGATGAGGCAGTTGCTGGTA